AAAGTACTTAGTAAGTTAAGTTTATTATTATTATTTATTATTACTTCTTATTAATTTATTATTATTGTTATTATTATTATTATTATTGTTATTATTATTATTATTATTATTATTATTATTATTATTATTATTATTATTATTAATTATTATTATTAATTATTATTATTAATTATTATTATTATTGCTTCTTTTAACTAAAATTTTTTTAATTCTAATTCTTTTAACTTTTAAATTTCTTTTAATTTTTTTTTTTGGAATTTAATTTAAATGTTTTCGTAGTTCATTGTAAAAGTTAAAACTATTATCACATCTTTTTAATCCTTAGTTTAGTGTAAAATTAAATTAAATATTATCATCATATTTCCCGAAAACTTTTATTTAATTTAATTTCTTCATTTCGGATTTTTTTAATTTCCAAATTCAATTTCTCCTTAGTATCAATGTAAAGTTAGACTGTTATCATATCTCTTTACTATCAATGTAAAATTAGGCTATTATTATATCTCGTAATTTAAAAGTGAAAGTTAAATTATTATTATGATAATATTAAGCAAAGATGCATTATAAAAATACAATTTGGGGCATTTTTAATCAAAAATCAAAAAATTTTTTCACCATTTTTATAATTTTTTTATTGTAAAATTTTTTTTTAATTTTTTTTTTCAATTTCAGGAATTAAATGAACAACTTGCTGATGTTGAAGATCAAAATACGGAAATACAACGTGCGAAGAAAAAGGTTGAAGGTGAAATTGATGCATTAAAGAAGCAAGTTCAAGATTTGGAAATGAGTGTACGTAAGGGTGAAATGGAGAAGCAATCAAAAGATCATCAAATTCGTTCAATTCAAGATGAATTACAACAACAAGCCGAATCAATTGCTAAATTAAACAAAGAGATTAAACATCAGGAAGAAATGAATCGTAAAATAACGGAAGATTTACAGGGTGAAGAAGATAAAACAAATCATGCAAATAAGATTAAAAGTAAATTAGAGCAAACCCTTAATGATTTAGAAGATAATTTGGAGCATGAACGACGTGCAAAAGCGGATAGTGAAAAATCAAAACGAAAACTTGAAGGTGAATTAAAAATTACACAGGAAACAATTGAAGAAGCAACACGTCAACGACGTGATTTGGAAAATAATATGAAACGAAAAGAAACGGAAATGAATGCATTGAGTAGTCGTTTAGAAGATGAACAATCAACAATAAGTAAATTACAACGACAAATTAAAGAATTACAAAGTCGTGCAGCAGAATTGGAAGATGAAGTACATAATGAGCGACAATCACGATCAAAAACTGATAAAGCACGTTCCGATATTCAACAAGAATTAGATGAATTAAATGATCGTTTAGATGAACAAGGTGGTGCAACAGCAGCACAAATTGAAATTAATAAAAAACGTGAAGCTGAAGTTGCAAAATTACGACGTGATATTGAAGAAGCTAATATGAATCATGAAAGTCAATTAGTTACGCTACGTAAAAAGCATACAGATGCTATTGCTGAATTAACTGATCAATTAGATCAAATTCAAAAGCAAAAACAAAAATTAGAAAAGGATAAATTACAATATACACGTAATGCGGAAGATTTAGCATCACAATTAGATCATGAATGTTCAGCTAAAGTAAGCAATGAAAAATTAGCAAAACAATTTGAATTACAATTAAATGATTTACAAGCACGTGCAGATGAGCAATCACGACAAATTCATGATTATAGTACAATACGGAATCGTCTTAGTAATGAGAATAATGATATGATAAGACAATTGGAGGATGCGGAAGAGCAAGTGACAACATTACAACGTTTTAAAGCACAATTAGTGCAACAAATTGATGATATACGTTCCGCAGCTGATGAAGAAGTACGTGAACGTCAAGCACTTGCGGCACAAGTGAAGAATTTACAAATTGAAGCGGAACAAGCTCATAATAATTTAGAAGAAGAAATTGAATCAAAGAATGAAGTAGCACGACAATTAAGTAAAGCAAATGGTGAAATACAACAATGGCAATCACGTTTTGAACAAGATGGTATGCTACAAGCTACAGAAATTGAAGAAGCACGTCGTAAGCAAGGTGTTAAAATTAATGAATTACAAGAAGCACTTGAACAAGCTAATCAAAAGATTATATCATTGGAGAAAACACGATCACGTCTTCTTGGTGATCTTGATGATGCGCAAGTTGACGTAGAACGTGCAAATGCTACAGCAAGTCAATTAGAGAAAAAACAAAAAGGTTTTGATGCAGTAAGTTTTAATTTTCATTTTAATATTGTCTTTTCTTTTTTTTTTTTAACTAGTGATATGATAAGTTATAAATTATAAATGAATAAAGATTCAATTTAGATATCTTATTAAGATATCGATAATTGAAAATTAAAATGAATTAAAATATAACTTGGCTTATTTTAAAGATTTTCTTTTTTTCTTTTTTGATCAAAGGATACAAAATTGTTTAAGTTGTTTAAGTTTATTAAGTTCAAATAATTTTACAGTTATAATTTTTGGTGATCTTTCTTTTTTTTTTTCTAAACATTTAAAATTTTTAATTGAAATATAATTTGACTTATTTTAAAGATCATCTTTGTTTAAAATTTATTCAATTCAAGTAATTTTACAATTACAATGCTGATGATCTCTTTTTTTTTCTTCAAGAATTTAAAATTTTAAATCGAAATTTAACTTGCCTTATTTTAAAAGTCTTTTTTGATCAAAGGATACGAATTATACATTTAAACAAATAGCATTAATATTGTGTAATACTACAATTGTTATGATGCTAATGACAGCTTTCTTTTTCTTTTTGTTTTTTTTTTTTTTTTTTGAGCATTTTTTGAATTTGAACCAAAATATTAGCTTGTATTTATTTAAAGATCATTAATTAAGGAAATGCTTAGAAATCCATAAATATTAAATAATATAATAAATTGATAAATTTCAAATATTGGTACTTGAAATTTTGATATAAAATTTTACAATTTTTACATTTCTAATAAGAATTAAACAAGTCAAGGAATATGATAAATTGGTAAATTTCAAATATTAATTTAAAATTTCACAATTTTATATTTTTAATAAAATTAAGAATCAAATAAATCAATTTATTAATAAATTAAAAATTTTTTCATAAATTTTACTAATTAATTAAGAAAAATATTTGCAGCTTGTTGATGAATGGAAAAAGAAAGCAGATGATATGGCAGCTGAACTTGATGCTATACAACGTGAAGTGCGTAATTTATCAACTGATTTATTTAAAATGAAAACAACTGCTGAAGAACATGCTGAAACAGTTGAAGGATTACGTCATGAGAATAAAGCATTAAGTAATGAAATACGTGATCTTACTGATCAACTTGGTGAAGGTGGACGATCACAACATGAAATGCAAAAAATGATACGACGATTGGAAATTGAAAAAGAAGAATTACAACATGCACTTGATGAAGCAGAAGGTTTGAATCTATATGAATATTGATAATCATTTAAAATAAGCAAAGATGTATTAAATTATTAAAATAAATGTTAATCATATATCATTATTTAAATCAAAAAATATATATTAAATAATTGAAATAAATGTAAATCATATATCATTATTTAAGTCGAAAAATATATATTAAATAATTGAAGTAAACGTGAATCGTATATTATTATTAAT